TCTAAAAAAAATATAAAACAAGAAGTATGTATCAATACTATTTAAATATAATTTCAGAAATGCGTGAAAGGTATTGTATAAAGGCTCTTATAGCAAAGCTAATTAAATGTGCGATTCAATCTGTAGAAACAGAACTGTATAGATAATGAGAATGTGCATTCTAACTGTTCCATATGCGAGGTAAAGTGAAGTGCAATATCGTTATCTTGCTGTAAAAGTTCCGCAATATAAAGGGCATACTGGTACTAATTCATATCTTGACGCGAACAATTTGCTTGTGCTATACATCATTGTACAACCTTTCTAAAACATTTATCTCACAGCTCTACCCCATTTACATGAATAACTTTCATTTGTTGGTACAGATCCACTAACATAGAAAAGTAGTATTTTATCTTACGGTCTGGTAATGTTCTGCCACAACAATAACTGTCATTGAAAACAGTTTCTACAAGGTACATACATTTGTTCCTTTAGCATAGAGTGAATCAAATATCATAATAATTCACAACCACAACGATAACGTTTCTTTTCCGTTAAAAACCTAACATCTGAGTTCATGAGGAGAAAAAAAGAATTACAAAAAAAAATCCTAATATACATTTTAGTCTTTAATAAAGTAAACATATCACGACTTCATGGCAAGCAAAAATATATAAAACTGCCTCAGATGAAACGTTAAATAAAATAATGTACTTATAAAATCAGACAAACATGAGTTCCGCAATGAACCGTATTTTTGAAAAATCAATGATTATACAAAACGACACCAATAAAATTACGGCACATAGAAGAATATCGCTTTGCGTTGCAATCGCAACACGATTCTCACGCATACATCTTTAAATAAAACCAAACTGTGCCATTTATAAAACTCAGAACATAAATAATGCGAATTAAAACAAAACTCACTCATTGAACTGTGTGCGTTTAAGGTCTACACAGTACGATAAAGTTTCATAGAAAAAAAACATTTCTACTCATAAAAAATATATATATATATAAAAAAAAGAAAAAGTCTGCAAAAATCCCATCCAACTATCAAAGATAATATTGTATATAATATAATATAATATAATATAATATAATATATAATATATATATATGCATAATATATATATTCACTTTTATATAATTATTTTGTATGTATACGATTAATAAATAGTATTTTGTTTCTGGCACATTGTCAGCTCTCCGCGAAGAGAACAAGCGAGTCCACACGAATACAACCAACACCATAAAACAATATAATGTATATGTTTACGGAGTTAGAAATTTTGAGGGGGAAGAAAACAAAATATCGCCCCTAACTGTTCGCTAAATAGCCACTACCTTATGTTATTTATATGAATTGGCCCGTGAAGAAATATCCTCTTAAAAATAACTCTCTTGTACATCACATTATTCAAACTTTTTTTTCCTCCGATAATTGTGCAAGGGAACACGTTCCTATCCTACAGTATACCCTAACGAATTGTTGTTCACCGCATCTCTTATTGTTCGCCATTCTTATAACGAGGACATCACGTATATAAGTTGTGTGACCACTGGAAGCCAAAATTTTAATTCCCCTCAAATAAGTGCCTCCCACTCTCACCTTTGGTAACGCTGTTACAGTGCTGGGTAAAGTGTAATTTCAAATAATAAATAATAAGCTATCTATTATTTTTACTTTAAACATTTCAATACGTCATACGTCTATAATTCAAACTTTTTAAATGGCACTTAAAAATATTATTTCACTTGAACGATAGTAAAAGTATTTTTGACTTTGCTTTGAAATATTTGAGTTATACATGTATTATCGTCCCTTTATTGCCAAGTAGAAATTTAATGTATAGCATCAATAGCCTTTGAAATATCTTTCTCGCGAAGTTTTACCCAGCCCTGCGTTGCTTCAGTCGTACAAATCAGTCGCTTAACAGTGTCAGAGAGAGCATGATCTACTACCATCGAAAACAAGCAATCGGAAGCAAACAAGAAATCTCTTCTCGCTGAATGTTTCTCCGTATCGACTCGTAAAAAAGATACATTAAAAGACTTACGTAATCAGTCTGAATCGCATAAACTGATCGTGCGTCGCAAAGAATAGGTAGGTGGTTTTCCAAATGTTTGATGTCATTGGTGGCGGCTGATCATCATGGATACTACTGCACCGGTGGCTCGAAGAACAGCCACAGCATTATTGTGATCAGATTTGGTGAAGTCTATGCCGTCTACTTCCAAAATCTTATCGCCCGGTCGAAGTGTACCTTGAGCTGGACCATCCGGATTGACTTTGGTCACAATAATTCCCTGAGGATGCGACAAATGAAAGGCAAATAGATGAATCATACGTATAATGCAACGTGTAGGGTATTATTCTTCTCCTGAGTTTCAGAGACTTACAGTTTCCGCGCCCGCTACTCCGCCAGCTATGCTGAAACCGAGGCCCGGATTCTTTCTAACTTGAACAGGCAACTGTAAAGTAATAATTAATCACCTTCATGCATCGGTCATTTCTCTTTCTCATTTTTTACAACATTTTTCTTAAAGGTACATACTACGTTGGCATTTCTATGTGGGCCGAACATCCATTTGAACCTCGGTCTCCTGTCCGAATTAATCAAGTCATTCGTTCCGCTAATTTTATACTTATCAGTGTTAGAATTATTCGCCTCGCTCAGAGATTTATTGTTCAACGAGACTGGCGTACTCCGACCGGAGTTAACTTCGTTCTTTATACTGTTCACAGGGCTGTTTAGATTTGCCATTTCATTCGGAATACTTTTCAACGCGGTATCCTGGCATTCTGCGTTCAGATTTCCAGGTGAATTTGAATTCATTGTGTTCAGTGAAGCTAGATTGTCGCACGACGTATTATTGTTCGAAGCTGTTCCGTTTAATATTTTCTTCGGCCGATCGGGAAACTTCGTTTGCATGGAGATCGGACTACGATATTTCTTCCCAGTCACCGGAGACGTAGGTATGCAAGAGGAGTTTAACATTTTCAAACTTTCATAATCTTCGGTAGAAGAGTTCATGCATTTGTTTGGTAGATCGCTGTTGGGTCCAGAATTCGAGGACTCTAAGTGCTTCGTTTTTAAAATTGGAATCCTACTCGGCTTCAACGATCGATCACCCTCGAAAGACTGTTCCTGATCGCTGGGTTCGGTCAACGCGTTAGTCTGGTCGGGAGTAGTCGCTGAACTTGTTTTCCCGTTACTAACGGTTACATCCGAACCATCCGTGTTGTTTGATGAAAACTTTTCGTTGCACAAACGCACATATTCCTCCGCTTTGAATGATTCACCGTTACCGTCATAGTGCTGCAGCTGGGTTTCCGAAGACACTTTTAGATTTGATATGTTTAGATCCGTTTGTGGAGAGGCGATTTTTGGCGAGTCCGTCTGACCTGCTAGAACAGGACGTACATTTTATATTTGTTAAGCTACATATATATATTTGGTACCACATAAGGTTGAAAACTGTTGAGGAATGTAACATACATTGATTCAACTGTTGAAAAAGCGCCGCCTTTTTGGAAAATGCAGCAGCTATGTGATACGGCGGTGGGACGGGAGGAATTTCACTTAATTTCGGTGTTTGTATGTGCATTTGATCACCATTGTTACTGCCCACAGCGAACTTCTCTGATTCTACAATTTTTGCTGTGTTTGCCTTCGAGTACTCGTCCGGTTTCCACGTAGAATTTACATAATCCGCTACTGTGGGAGGCTTAGAAAGATACTCAGATGTGGGGTTCCGAATACACTTTGCTTCCCGAATATCCGGGCTTTTTTCTTTCGCAAGTACCGTCTTGTTTGCCTCGTCTGAAGATTCCTCTGACACTGACTGTTCTGTTCCGACGTCAGTAGCGCTACCACTCTTATACCCTTTTGTTGTATTACGGTCAGTAGGTGAAAGTGAAGCATGTGAACCCTGAAGAATAGATTTGATCATATCAAGTAAATACTTACTAATGGATAGCTTAAAAAAATGTATATATTTTTCCTAATTCTTGGTATTTTGTTTTATACTGATTTCATAAAAACTCATTTACATCCTAAGGATAATCAAGGAATATAAAATTTAAATTTTGAAAGATCTTAATGTCGTCGATTACTCTGGTATCTATCAAATTGCCCTTTTTTCTCATATCTTTTTCAGTTCATTAATACCTTATTAAAGAAGCTTTGTGAAAAACAGGTCCCAGTTTTTGAGGCAAGGTCCAGAGTAGCGGTAGCTTTTGCAATAATAGCTTCTTTGATCATTGTCTCCTGTTCTAAATGCATCTGGAAGTATCAATCGCCAATTTTCTTGTGATCTTAATTTTCATAGAAATATACAAACATACACACACAAAATCATCACATATTTGAACAATTGTTAGGAGATGCAAAAGGTAAATACTTACTCTTTGATCATGAGCTGACTGATGTTGCAAATTGCGGGCATGCCTAGCAAGGTTGCGCAGCTCTTTAGGGTAGGGTGTTGGTGCTCGATGAAGTTGTCTAGGGATTTCGGATTCTACCTCAGCAGCAAAACATATTCTTTTTCCAGTACCAACAATTGAACTCGAAATTAATCCTACAGCCGGCGGTATCTCTATACATACAAACAGAAAATCGTTATCTCCATCAGCGAGAGTCACTAGAATTACGAACTGAGACAAAAACTATAAAAAGTGTCAACAATTTTAAGAACTGTTCAGTCTGTATTTTTCTTTGATTTCATACTTTACCCTTTCATTCTTCATCTCCCTCCTCATTATCCACTAGCAGCAATAATATATCATATATACATATTTATTATATACTTATGTATAAAATTATATTTAATACGCGTTAGACGTGTCATACCCATAATTAAAGATACTCACGTTCAAGTTCTTGCCGCGGATTTTGAGGGAGCATAAAGCAGCTTAACACCATCATGTCTTCCTCGCAATTAAACTCTTGTTGCAATGGCACCAGTGGTTGACTTTGATTGTCGCTCAGCCATAACGCTTTCAAGTTATTTAAGTTTAACATAGAAACAGGCAAATATTTGATGCAATTGTTCACGAGATTGAGTACTCTTAGAGAGGATAGATGGCCTAATTCCGGTGGAACCCATGTCAGATTGTTTGATCGCAATGAAAGCAATGATAATGAGGTGCAACTTCCAATTTCTGGTGGAAGGCATCTCAAGTAGTTATTGTCTGCATTCAAACAGTGTAACTTCCGTAGAAGTCCTATTGATGACGGTAAATATTCAAGGAAGTTCTTAGTAACTATAAGCTCCTCTAAGTTTGACATTTGTCCAATGTCATTTGGCAGTGTGTTCAATTGATTGTCATCAACTTTAAGGGTGACGATTGTTCGTAGATAGCATAAAGAATCTGGTAACTGATAAATTTCATTGGAAGAAAGATGCATAATTGAAATATCCCTCCAGCCTTCTACTTCTGATGGAATAATACGAACTGCGTTCATTGTGCAATCAAAATGATTCAAACGATACAGTTGGTTAATATTTACTGGTATACGCTTAATATCATTACCATCTATCCACAATTCGGTGAGATTGATGAGATCGCCGACAACCTCGGGCTAAAAAAATGTAATAAATAATTAATTAAAGAATTGATTATTCACTTATCCTTCATCAATTCTTCTCTACAAGTAAAAAAGCTTACCAATTCAGTGAACTCATTATTACCAATATCGAGCCTTTGCAAATTTATTAAACGGCTCATACTCTTTGGTAATGTCATTATATTATTCTCTCTAAGCTCCAGGGTTCTTAGAGCTGAGAGTCTTCCGAAGTTAGCTGGTAAGTATTCTATGTATGCATCATTTATATATAATTCTCGTAACTCAACAATGTGTGTAATAGCATCAGGAAAACGTTCAATGGGGTTAACACTGATATCTATGGAACGAAGGTTTTTACATTCTTTTATACTGTCTGGTAATTCTTTAATACCTACAAAAAAACTGTGCTAAGAGTCTGTATATAATAGTGAATAGCATAGAAACTAAAAAATATGTTTATACACATACTATTTTTACTGAGGTCTAAATATTCCAGGTTGATTAATGATGCTATGGCGGGTGGTAACGTGGTGACTTCATTATCACTAAGAGATAGTACTCGTAATTCATGGCACTGGAACAGTGGCCTTGGAAGATCCTTTATCTATAATGCAAAACAATAAGTTTATATTTTTAAAGAACTTCAGTGAAACATTTTCCAATGTTCCTAGTTACCCTATTGCAATCCAAATATAGCTTTTCCAATGTTCTTTCATAAATGAACACGTCAGGTGGTACATCATAAAGGTTACAGTGACTCAAATTCAACTCGCAAATATCTTCTTCTTGTGCTCTTAGACATGCAGCGCACTGCCACCAAGCACTACCCATTTCATGTATAACTACAAATAAATTATTATATTACAAAAATGATTCTTATTGGATTACAAATTCTGAAACAATATAAAGGAACAGATATTAAATAAATATTTGTTTATTATCTTAAGGATTTTAGTAAGTTGTGAATAAAATGACAACATCCTTAAATGCTGTTGATGTTCTTACTGTTTTGTAAATACATAAAATTTGCAATTTAATCATTACCTATAACACTTCACGAATGATTTCCCAAGAGCATCGATATATCTATGGCAAGCAGACAGATCCGTGGACAGTACGAAACTTGCTAAAGACTATTGTTTCATGGAATTCTCGAAAATCATTCGGCAATCGGTGCGTCAACGTTCCGTTTTTTTCGTGCCGGCTTCGTCAGGATCGTTTCCAGCCGCATCATCGCGAAACACCACGATACGCGACTCAGTGTCTTCTTATTCTCAATTAGTATTAAGAATAAATAGCACAGACCGTAACAATATACCGATCGACACCGAGTAGATGTCAAGAGGTGCAGGTTATTTGATAAATTTCTTCAAGGACTTCTTTCATGAACATATCTCACTCTTTACCCGTGGATCCTGATCCTCCGCGTAGTCAAAGCAACGACAATAGATCACGAACACCCGGCGGTTCAACAGTCCAACACATTTACCAGTATCGAACAAACTTATAGGTCTATTATCCATTGAAAGAAAAACCTTCAAAGAAGTATAATGATCCGTTCATAACGTTGCATCGATGTTTTTTCACCGTGTTTCACGACGATCCTTGAGAGATTTGTTTCTATTTAACGATAAAACAAGTGGATTCCATTAAAATTGATTGAAAAATAAAAAATTCCAGTTTGATGAACTGTTATTGAGTTGTCTTCGTATTGCAGCCTGAATCGATCACAGCCAGATTTTTATCGCGAAAAAACGAGCCAATTCTGTACCAGTGTGCACCGTTGTAGGCAACTTTAAACCAAGAGGGGATATCCCTACTCGGTTCTATACATAGTGATGCCGAACAAAGTTTATCCATACATGTCTAATTTTGTATTTCTTATTTATTCAATTATGAATTTTTCTTCTTTCTAATTCCTAATTTGTAACTATTTATCTCTGATACGATTAGTTCTATATATCTATATATTGTACGGGTACAATTAAATGAAAGAGTTGAATTCGAACAATTCGGATGTACGTCTTTGAACGTAAGCTGAGAACCACTGCGGGGATTCACGTGATAATGGTGGGGCGAAGGGGAATATTCGACCAAGCTGTTAACTCTGTTCTCCGCTATAAATCCATGATAGTAAAAACTATTTGACGTGAGAACGCGCCTTGCTGGGCGCTTAATCGACAACAGTCGGTGACGTTCCCAGTCGTACACGTGCGCAGAAGTTAATTAATGGATTAAACGTGACGGAAAGGTGGAAGACCGAACACTGTGATGTTCTGCCAAAGTAATCGAATTTCTGGTATGTAGAAGCAGAGCCTAGAACGACTCTTGTTTGGTTATATCAAATCTGTTTCTAAGAAGAAGAATCAATAAATGTAAGCTCGGGTTGTAGAAGAAAGACGAGATCGTAGACGGTAAAAAATGAGTGCTGGAGAACATAAGGGTTGCGAAATAGAAGATATTGAAAATTCGGATGAAAGTGACAGACCCTCTGGGGAAAGATGGGCGCCAGTCGGGGCAAACGACTGTGACAATGATTTTGCTGATGAGTATAAATATGTAGATAATATGGAGAAGTAAGTAATATGTTAACAATGTTTTGAAACTATTCTTTACTTGTTACTATAGTTAAATATTGCCTTCTGTTATATTAGCTTATCTTATGATATGGAGAGACTCAAGGTATTGGAAGAGGAGCAGGAAATGCTTAATTCATCTCTCATAGCACTGACTACACATTTTGCCCAGGTATTAAATGTTCCTTAGCATTGATATTAATAAGTAATGCATATAACTGTTCTTGACCTCTTAAGAATTTGTTCCAAATGTTATTGTGGTCTGTTTTAATATTCCATTGTAACTATAATATTTTTATTAATTTAAAATGTAAATACGAAGTCAGCTTTAAGAGATTAATGAAAATAATGATTTGTTAGTAATATTGGGAATATATTTCAGGTTCAGTTTCGTTTACGACAAATTGTGGATGCACCCACTAATCAGAAGGAAGCGTTGCTCAAAGAATTAGAAGAGTTTGCATTTAGGGGAATACCCGATGCTCCAAATAATTTGTCACTTGATAGTAGATCAATTACTCCAACTTCTCCAGTGTCCTGCAAGCAAAGCGTAAGCTGTGTAAAAATTTACTGTACCAGTATTTTAATTTTTTAGTATTATGTTTATTTTTTATCTTTTTATTTTAATTCTTTCTTCTTACAATTTTTCCTCCAAGTGTTTGCCTTATTTTAATACAACTCGCTTTGCTTGTAAAATACTGATATGCATACAAATCTGTGATATATTTTTCTTATGCTTTAATAAAGTTTTAACTAATTTGTAGATAAAGTACTATTTATATTCTACTGGAAAATAAATATTTTTATATACATTGTTTTCAATATATGCTTTTGTTATTCTCATGCCATAGCTTTTAATCCTTGTTTTTTCTTTTGATTTTTTTTTCTTCTACATGAAACAATAACTCAACGCCAAAGGGTAGAATGCTTAGTATGTACAATTTAACAGATATCTGGAGTTATTAATGATGTTGATGTTGAATCTAAAATGGCTTTACAAAGAACAAAACAAAAAGAACTAATATGTCAACTGAAATCTCAGTTAGAGGATCTAGAGAAATATGCTTATGAAACTGGTGATGCAGACTTACCGCAAAGCATGATATTAGAACGACAAAATATTATAATCAGTAAGTCTTTCAAATTCAATCTTTTTATATAAAATCTAGATTAATACTGTTTTTTTCAGATCATTTAAAAGAAAAACTAAATTTTGACGTCGACGATCTTTGCAAATTACCAGTTGACGATTTAAGATGGCAAGTAGATTATGCTATAAGTCAGGTAAATTATTTGACTCGATAGGATTCATTAATGAAGGAATTTTCATAGAATATGAAATTAATAAATTCGATTTACAGATTGTTAGCCCTTTGAAAATGAAAGAACAATTGGTAACTCAATTGAAAACACAAATTACGGATTTAGAGCGTTTTATAAATTATCTTCAGGGCGAAGTTAGTACAGAAACTTTAGCATGCACTTGTGCTTGTCCAGTACACACTAGTGGTTCTGCTACCTCTTCTTCGTATGTTAAGAATGCATTTCAGAGAAAATCGATGGAGGAAGATAATAAAACTCAGACTATTAACACTGTTAAGAAGGTGGCAGTTCTATTACATATGTTCCTAGTGTCCCAATTAGGATGCGGTAGTGAAAGGGTGCGAAGAAACATTAAAAAGAATTCAGTACATAAATGGCGGGACTTGAGAACCAGACTAGATATAGCTGTTGAACATGTTATAGAAACAATTACAGAGATTAATCATCATACAGAAGATGATGACCCCACTAATGAAAATGATTATGCCTCAGATTCAGATTCCTCGTCTCATTGTAATGCAAGAGTAACATCTGCTGTAAGGAAGCATTTAGCAACGTCCATACGTGACTTAATTCAACATGGATTAATGTCTGATGTGCGTGCTAATAGTGTAGTACCGTTCGTGGGATGTTTCCCTCAAAGAACCACCTCTACTACTAATTTAATGCATGCATGGGAATTAATATTGAAATACTATGAAATTAAAAATGGCCACCGTTACAATTCTAGCCCAGCACAGAAATTATCTCAAAGTTTCAATCTAGATTTAGCAGGGAGAGTTATATCTTCTAAACAGGTATTAATTACGCAGTTCGATTAATATCAGTTTCTACTATAATAAAATAATTAAATTTCCAGAGTCTATTAACAACTATCGGGAACATTATTGCCTCTCACAGTCCGTACAAAAGAAGTTACGATTCCCATTTCAAAGCATTCATATGTGCATCCTTGAAGTGAGTAAATATCTCGCAATCCTCTTATAATGATAAAGATTTGAAACATATTGATAATTTTATTCTAGTGCCAAAAAGCTTGTCGCTTGGTTAAAATTAATCCTACAATGTCAGTATCTCCTTGAGAATCATTATGCATCATGGAGTTATGTTGTGAAAACAGGTATAGTAAAAGATGAAAATGAATACTATTACCAACGAACTAAACGTGACAAATGCAATATTTCTCTGTTATTGTTATAAATAGGTTTTCAAGATGCATTTCATACTCTAGATCGTCTAACAAGTTACAAATTTGATTTGCCAGTGGACTTGGCTGTAAGACAATTCCAAAACATAAAAGATGCATTCTGATTGCAAAGCAAATCAACATTCATACTCATGTGAGTATGGGGTAGTCACTTTTAGTGAACAAAGTACACAAGCAACATAAATGAGAAACAGTACATTTTAACTTTATGTTGATAGTACACTAATCTACTGTATTTTAAAAATATTCTTTCTTAAAGAATATTCTTTCTTAAAGAACATTCCTTTCTCATCTCCTGAGTGCTTATTAGTTGAAAATTGTTATGATGCAATAACATACTCAGAGTCTGAGTTTTTAATTATTCTATTTTAAGAATATCATTCTATAAGATCTAAAGAAAGATAATCTGATGCTTGGGGTGACTTAATGATGATATGTATAAAAATATATTGTGATTTAGAGCACAGATATAAATGTAATGCTGCCTCATATAATATGGACTGATACATATTACGTAGTTATTTTGAGGTACATTTTCAGAGACTGCAAGTTCTCAAGAAATTAATGAATCTAGACATTTTATTTATAAACTTTAACGAATAACATTAAACCAATTTTATAAAATTGAAAAACGCGGTTATTACGTCGATCAAAATTAATTAGTATTTCGTACTAAATCTTTTCACGCAAACGATGAAGAAAGTACTTCTTACTAGATATCAAATAAAACCAAAGACCAAACTTTCTTTTTGATAATTGAAAGAAATATTATTCTTCAGTTTTTAGTTTTAGTACCTCTTCGAATGTTAAAATTAATAAGTTTATGGTAACATATCATTGAAACAGTAGTTAAATCTTGTAACATATAACAGTAATATGCTCATAATCTTTGATGTTGTGATATATTGTCAACATTTTATCTTGTTGTGTTTTATAAATCTTTATCATTGCTTTATATTTCTTTCTTCACATGTTTATATAGTATATATACGTTGATATAAACGTGTAAAATAAATCTTTAGTTATCACTATTAAAAGGAAGAGTTTAAAGAGTCTCGTTTTACTGTGCAGATCATTGAATAAATCTGTATAAAATGTTACATTTTTGTATGCAGCTGAAAGTATAGATCTTATAAATATTTCTCTCAATTATATATAACTGTTCCTAATTTCATCAAGATTAAATATGTTATATGGTATACTGTAAGAAAAGCATACAAGCTCCAGAAAATAGATATTACTAGAACACACATTAATTTCAACTAGTTAACAATTTACTGAACATACACACCTAGTTACTTGCAATTATTGTATTGTATGCATAAGGTATATCATATGTAAGATAGTATTAAGAGAAACTCAAATGTATTATATAATATATACATAAATATCTGCTTTTTATATACATAATAATTTGACATTAGTTTATTGAAGAGAAGACATGCAGAAATATATTTATGGAGCAATGTATTCTGTTTTATATTATAATATATCCTAATATATTATTCCTTATACAAATAAAAAAGGCAGAGTACATGAAATTGGTTGTTTATTTCTTGTAAAAGTTGTACATTAGTAAAAGTTTCATAGCAGTTCTTCTTTCAACACGTTTGTAGTATTTCATTGATAATTCCCCGATATTTGTCATAATAAAGCATACAGGATGAATCACAAGAAATTTCATGGTTTGAGTAACGTAAAAAAAATGTCTAAAACCAATGCTTAGATACTCCTGAGAGATAAATTTGTTAAACATAATTTATGTTGTAACAACTATTTTTTTCTCGACTTTTAGTAAAATCATATGTCTATATTCCGAACACTATCCACCTGTTCATCTTTTTCTGCATCTCATAACTCACCCTGTATAATTTTCATTAACTCTTATTTATTACAATTATCTACATTAAAAAAAGGAACAACATGTAAATTAGACATCGCTACTTCTAAATTATATATATATATTTTTTTAATTTTAATTTGATACTTATGAATCTCGTTTAAGGTTCAAAATAGAGTATCGAGGAATCTCGATGTTCTTACTGATTAGATTACAGTTTTGTTGTACATAAAATTCAGAATAGAGTCTACATTGTCAATAACATATTTGAACTCAACGAATGTATATAATACCAGAAGTTTCTTTCTTGGTCGCCGATGATACGTCTTATGTACGTATCATCATAATATATCACGTACAATACTACTTATACAGGATACAAGTACACAGATGTAAGAGCACAAACTTGGTAGAAGTTCTTCTCTCCTTTCACAATATAAAAGTCGTGTATAAAAAAGTTTATGGAAGAGCATTCAGATATTGCATTCACATCATTTCTTCGCTTTTTTCCATGTATTATATAGTATTTGTTAATGCTCAACCAAGAATTACAGTAGAACGAAGAACATTCATCTGCCTATTGCAATACACACTCATTGAAAATCAAGTGGATGTTGACATTCATTAGCTATACTTATCTATGTACTTAAGGATAGGATACAACATTCACAAATTAATAAACCGTTCGTAACATATAGTTCGTTACGAAAATCCTGATGAATAATACATTTATGGAATACAAAGTAGTAATATACAGCAAGGAATGCTTTCAATATCACTTAGAAAATGTTGAATAATATCATAAAAATTGAAAGTAGATGTTTCTTCTATATAAAAAAAAATTTCTCTTGATAAGAAAGATTATTGAAAATTATATATTAAAAGGAAAATGCATCCAGGCATGTTACATATCTCGTAGAACAAGTAATACTCCAAATCAATTCTATGTTACAGTTGAAACATTCATTTAAATATTGTTTTAAAGCACAGTAATGATTTACTTTCAAACCTTATGTATAACAGTTGCACAGTA